TCGCACGTCGCTGCTTAATTTCAATGCCGTCGACTCTTTTTTTTTAATAATTTAAAAATCATAATTTCTCGCCAGGTATTATAAATTATCAATAAAAAAAATATTCCATTAAAATATACGATTGTTTTATAATAATTTTAATAAATTCATAATCTGCATGGCCAGTTATACTATTGAATACGTTTGCACACAAAACAAGTTGGGAGTTTTTGTCGCAAGAATGGCTGGTGTGATGTGGTGGGGCTGAAGCATTCCTTCGGTCGTTTCTTTCACCTCCAGTAACGCAGTAACGTTGGCGAGGTGCACTAGCGTCTGCGCATCGCCATCCAAAATCCTATAATAGAGTGTTCAGACGGATCAAAACGCACGTTTCCGCGATTAATGCAACTCGTCTGTATTAATAAACCGGACTGCAGCTCGCCGTCGTCTACGTACACAAACGACTCTTGTTTATAAGCAAGCGCTCAACGCAGTATTCGCTGCTAAGCCGTGTCGGATACACGTAACAGCATAACCGTCTATAAATAATTAAGAAAAAAACAACTATACATTGGCAAACGTGAACGGTCTCGCGTGTGTGATTTCTATGAGCGACATTATCTCGCGCACGTGTTTGTAACGTTAAATGTGCCAAAACCTATAATACAAATGCAGACTATGAAATGGATAGAAATGGTACGACTCGGCCCTCCCTCCCCAGAGAGGTCTTCAACTTTCGACAGTGATAAGGTGAGGTCGCATTCTGTGGTCACGGTGTTGTTTTTAATATTTTAATCGTGTCGTCATCGCTCAATGAACGGTAATTTATACGTTTTAATTGGTGCTCCCAATTTTTTTTTAGTCCACGTGGCCGTGATAAATGTTTTAAGCCCAGTAATTGTAATTTGAATTATTGTACTCGAAGCATAAGCATACAACGTATGGCCTTGAAGAGTACCATATATACCAAACTCTGTCAAAAGATTAACAACAATATGCTGCGCTCAAAGATATCCAAGATCCTGCGAAATACCGTATTGTAATAATCCATTTGGTATTTCCAATGATATAATATTTAAAAGGTTATCTCATTATCTGCTCGAGAGACACCGTGTGAACACATATGTTTTTATTAAGATTTTAATAACGTAAAAGTTTTTATAACAAAGTTCATTGCCATAATGAGTTGTAGCAGAAAACCGCTCTACCATAACATAAATATTATCATTCTACGTCGATTGTATTTTAAATTAACCTTTGAAAAGAATAGTAAAGTTTAAATATTTAAAAGCAAGTGTTGATCATCCATCCGTTCAATAGACAGCGCGACAAAGTCGCATGAAAGTGGACCACGGAACACAGTCTATAAATAGTAAGGCGATTGACCCTCGATATTTTTCTGAAGTGTAACCCTGTAATTATTGTAATTAGGGTGCCGGCTGCACTCATAATGCTGTCAATTCAATAAATACATCACAATGTTCAGGAAATCTTACTTCTTACTAATAAATGCGAATGTTTAGTTGTATGGATGTTTGTTTGAAGGTATCTTCAGTACGGCTGCATAGATCTCGTTGAAATTTGGCATAGATATAGAACATAGTCTGGAAGATCACATAGGCTACTTATGGTTTTTTTAATTCCAAACGTAAGGAGTCGCGGTCGATCACTAGTTAATATATATGGTGTGATCTTAAACATATGCATTCCATGAAACATAGTCTTTTTTTGTGGAAATTTCATCGGGTTTTTAATCGTGCTTTGTTTAAAAACTCAACTACAATGTTTTAATAGCTTCGAATCATGTTTATTAAAAGTTACGTATACAATCGTGCAACCGGTGTTCGGATATCCGGCTTTCTTGTTGTCATTCTTTCTACAAATTAAATAGCATTATATTGTTATATCACGTTTTGAAAAAGATTTTTAACAGGAAACAAATCAACGACAAAAATGATTAACCCTGAACCCTGATGAATCATTATTTGAAGAAGTTATGTTATTTTGTTTAAAATTTAATTATTTATCAGTTAAGTCTTTAATTCTATAATTTTTATGAATACAGTTGAGTCACTTTTATGAGAGTTATTTCGTTGATTATGAATTTGATTGTAATTTCACTCATTTGCATTGCGTTCACGCCACGTGGCTCATTATGTCTATACATCTATTCAATCCAATCACGTTCATGTAAAGTAGTGGGTGTGTATATCTGATTTAATTAAATGTTGCATAATTAATATCAAGTTTATTAAGTAACGTGATGGAAAATTTTAATTCTGAATCTTTTTTTAATTTTAATTGAATAATCTTAATTTGATAGAACAGAGTTTAGAGTGATAGGGTAATGGTTAAAGGTATAGATTTCTATTCATGTGCTCAAGAAGTCCAATCCTGCCATTCGAATTGTCTAAAACCATATGACAAGCCTAGATATTACTTGGCATAGTACAAAAAAATATAAGTAAATTAAAAAAAATCATGTATTATAAGAATTTGATTGTTGTAGTTTTTAAAAGTTTATTGACACTTTACTTACAATTTTATGTTCGTCTTTTTCTTAAATAACATGTGTTTCTTTGAAAAACTTAACACAAATTAAGTTAAAAATCAATCTTACAAAAATAGTTTCACGTTTGCCCACTGAATATTGTAGTGAATAATTATACGGGATTGTTTTCTGATCGACAAAACAATTGAGATAAAGTTCACTGAACAAATGAAAGGGATTCATCGGTAAGGAGTATTGATTAAAAACTTGTAGATAAGTTAGATAAGGTATCGATGCTTTGTTATTACGTGCTGGTTATTGCCGCTGGTGTTGGGAACGTGAGTGTTATCAGTACACAGTTAAACAAAAGAACTAATCATGTTGTGTCCCATTATACGGCGACGAATGGATCTTTTTCTGGTCATTATTTACTTTATAAAACGCTAGCTGTCGCCCGCGACGCCGTGCGCTCGGAATTTAAAAAAACTTAACTAGTAGCCTAGGTGTTCTTCTGGACTATGTTTCACATCTATGCCAATTGCCAATTTTCAGCAGTATCCGCTCAGCCGTTCTGGTGATACCTTCAAACAAACATCCATCTAAACATTGGCGCTTACAATATTAGTAAGATGATTAATTTTAGTTTGATGGCGTCAAGGATCTCTATAAAAAAGAATTACTTTACCGTCTATGATTTCTTTGCACGGTGTAGAAAAATGTTAATAATTACATCATCAACATTTCGTCTAGACGTTAGGAAACTAGCTATAAATGGTACATGATGATAGAGAAAATCTCCCATATTATAAGTGTACACAAAAATAAGACTTCCACTTTACATAGTTCTACGTGGCGATCATAAGTGTTTAAATTATTAAGATATTTATTGCCCACTTGGCTCATAAATTTTAAATAATCCTCACCTTAATCCAGGGATGGCTCTATATGTTGGTGATTGCATTACGATAAGCGATACCGAGATAATGGCGAGTTTACATAAAATCAACTGACCGAAAGAGAATCAGTCAGCTACGTTAATTCCATCACAAATGACGCACTCTGTCTGCACGGAAACAAAATATTCTGGAAATAGTTCGACATAAAAACTAGATAGAAATGGCCCTTATCGGAATTCAGCCTTAGGCTGTTACTGCGTTTATTAATAAACTGCGCTTAACCTAACACAGATAGTAAATCTAGAAACGTGTAGTGAAACTTGTTAAAACAAAATGTTGCGTTACATCCGCAAACTGGCAGCGCGAATCATGGTGAAAATACGAAAGGCAGACATGTTTATATTCAACGTAACAGTGTTGCGAAGACGCGGCACCATACATTCTATTTGTAGGAGAGCAACCATACATTCCATACATGAGGTGAGGGATAACAATTTATATAATGAGCCACCAATTGTTGGAAACGATTCCTAATTTGCGAATTAACGATGGACGTCATTGCAGAGGGAACACTAAGAGCATTGTATGTGTAACGAGCAATTGCTAAATGTTAGTTAAGTGGCCACTATTAGCCATTACTTCTATTTAGCAGATTTAAAAGAATTATGTCATATGTATGTACAAGAATGTATGTACTCAGCTATGGGAACTTAGAACTTTTAAGCCTCTATAGCCTAATGGTTAAGGGTACGGACTTCCGATCACGAGGTCGGGGGTTCGAATCCCACCATTCGACTATTGTCGTAAACCATATCCTAACACAAGCCTAGATATTAGTTGGAATGGTTAAAGAAATATTAGTAAATTTACAAAAAAATCTGCTAATATTTTATTTAAAAAAAAAACTACCAGAAATTCATAATCACGTTTAATATACTTAAAGCTATTTATAAGGATTAAATTAAACTCATTTTGTTCTACCTGTATGCTAATAGTTTCACGGTGGTTGTTAGTTTTAGTGCACACAGCACGATTAGCAGCTGATGTTAAATGTGGACTGTAGTGTTCAGGAATGCATCATCTCATTGCATCTTGTCGACTCCATATTGCATCAAATAGTTCTGAACCTCTCATTCAAATTCATGATTCAAATTCGACCTCATTCATCAAGTTTTGTCTAAGCATGATGTTGCACTATCCAACTGTTACTAATAACTTAGTTTAAGACATTGTTTATGAATTTATAATACTAGATAAGTTCGAAAACTTAAAATTATCTGTAAAATTTATCAGATGCTTTCATCTTTATCTCTTAATTAAAATGAAATGAAAAAAACAAATTTCGTTTAGTGAGAGTTTCTTCTGCAAAAACACTTGTACAAAAATATATTACCATCTCTCTCTTTCATTTGGATAAAAGATGGATACCAATATAAATTGTATAGGTGTTTCGGTGATGAAAACTCAACATTTACTAACAAGTATCAAATTTCCATCGTCACACGTGCGTCATCTCAATTTATTCAAGCTTTTTCCTTTAACAGATTCGCTAAAAAGATGTTAATTTATGTTAGTACTGGCCGTTTTCACGTTGTTTTGAGTTAGAAGAGAAAAAAATGTATGTCTATGCGTAGGTGTTGTCGATGAGCGATGAACTGCGCCGCGCGTTGTACTCGTCGGGCGCCTCCGTCGACATGGAGTTCTCGCCTCCAGATCTCATCGGCGTCTCCGAGATATTTACAATGGAGCACAGGTAAATACAACAATTCATTTCTACCTAAAACATCCGATTATTAGCTTGATTTTTTTGATTAGGGCTGTCACTGTTGACATGTTTAAAATTTTTTTCAGTTGTCTTGTAAAGACCGTTTATAATATTTATATCGTTAATTTACTAGAAAATAAAGCCCTGAAAACATTGCCCTTAATTTTACTTATTTCCATAGTAATGAGTTTACTTTTCATAGCAAAAATAGGATTACGAACGATTTAATACTGGTTGTGTCAAAAATTTTCTTCAAAGACATCTAACCGCAAGATTATATCTTTAGTTTTATCCCACTCATGTGAAGCGCGCAATTATAAATAATACCCAAAATTATATAAATCCCAATTAACGTATGTTTTTAAGTAATAGCTTATTATGTTTGCTCCAATCTATAAACAACATAACAAGTTTTGGTATAACCCTGACACAAATTAGTAATGTTTTAATTATAAATTAATCTTTAAATTTACATTTATTTATAACGTTTTTAATCTTACTATCTAACTTAATAATATATATGCGAATATTTAGATGGATGGGTGTTTGTTTGTATGTATTTCATGAACGGCTGAACGAATCTCGATGAAATTTGTCAACGCTACTAATTATGTTTTCTCTTATAATTCATAGTCGCGAACGACAGCTAGTTATGTAATGTATGTATAGATTTGTTCGTAGAAAATCTTTACAAATTAATGGATGAGATTATTATTGATGGTGGCAGAATTACACTATTTTATTTGTTTTCATTTCTATTTCTTAATTTTTCCTTGTATGTAATGAATGGATGGAATGTACGCATTACAGACAAAATAACAAACATGTTTTTTTACGCTTAAATCCTTTGTCTAAGTATTGATGAAAGTACGTAAAGTCACGCAGTATTGAATATGGAATTTACGATTTATGTTACATAAGCATAGATTAATAAAACATTAGACTTTTTGTTAGCTATTTAATCTGTGTTTTTTTTTGTTTAGTTGCTTTAAAAATCAGCACATTTGATAAGTCAGCAAGCAAGGTTAAGTGCTTACAACAAAATAGAAAATAAATTCACTCACTTAAGATAACTTAATAGCTTATTTTAAATATTATAAGGTTGCAAAAAGAGCGAGCGGATGTCTGTATTTGCTAAAATAGCAATGCGACTATTGCCCATAGACAACCGTAATAGCAAGAGGAGGGAACGCACAGTAAGACAATATTTCCCCTATACGTCCCCTCCTCGGGTAACTACAGTTACCTTTCCTATTCTCTTATAAAAAGATGTGAAATACAACAAAGAGTTTATTCAAAAGTAGGATTAATTTAGATTTGTACAGTAGTTGACATTTAGCAGAATTTGTTTGTGATGAATGTGTGTGTTGTGTTGTAGGGAGAAGTTGTGCAGCGTGCTGCCGGCTCGCGCGCAGGGCTACATGTGGTCGCTGGCGTTCAGCACCAGCCAGCACGGCTTCTCGCTCGCCTCCATGTACCGCAAGATGCAGCGCGTCGACAGCCCCGTGCTGCTCGTCATACAGGACACAGACAATAACGTAAGTATACTACATATTCACTAACCGTGGGTTTCTGATACCATCTCTGTATAAAACATATCGTCATAAACGGCGATTTCGGTTTCAGAAACTCATGGTAAGCTTTTTTTACTAAAAACAAAAGAATCCTTTTAATATTTTAATATTATTTCCCGCCATCGGACAAACACTTAGGGTCCATTTAGGTCACGCTTATACACTGAACGTACAAATGCTCCGTAGAGTACAAATTTATCGCTGCAACTTTCAGAATAGTTTATTTTTCATTCTTGAAGGTTTTAAACTGTATATAAATTTGTTTTGAGTACAATAATCCATGATAATGGATATCAGTAAATAAACACTTCAATAACTACAAGTAAACACTACATCGAGTTATGTTAAATGTCATTTGATTACAACTTAATCGACGACTTTCATATTTCTTACATTTTAAAAGATACAGTAAATAAACTTATTTTTAAACGTACATATAGACATTGCAATACAACTGACATTTTAATAAGTGTTGAAATTGTTATTGCACATAAAACAAAATATTTTCTTTGTCTTATCTACATAAATGGTTCAATGAATTGAACGAATAATAAAATCATAAGGGTGGATGTACACTAGAACGCTTTCTTGAGCATCTATATAGTAAGCACGTGTGGTTCGTGATACACTAGAACATATTGTTAGGAAGAACTGACACTGTGTCGGTGTACTGGCGCAACACTAGCCTTACTAAAATGTCGAAGTTTATGTCCTTGGTAACGAAAGCGCGCCATTGACGGCAAAGTAGTCTAACTAATAATGTCTAAAAATATTAAATAGCCGCTCTTTGTTCTGTTACAAGTAAATGCTCCAGTGTATACTCACCTTATGTATAATACAACAAAGATCTCTTTGTTTTCAATTCAAAACAATTTTTAACTCAATGATTGTTCTATGAGTTATCGCTAATATTAATAAAGTTCTTTGCAATAACATGTAAATAATTATCCTAGATTATAAAAATGTTAATACACTAGACGTAATAAATCGTAAATAACTTGCACAGTAAATAAATAAAATACTTAGGCGCCAACACTCGTAATTGTTTCTAATGAAGCGATAGACTCGACACAAATAGTAAAAACTACACTAAAGTCTACACGTAAACAAAAGTATAAGACTGTTGATGAAATGTATTAGAATTTGATACGTTTTATTTCTTTATAAAAGACAGTTATTTTATGTATCTATATAT